ACTCAAGGCTGGGGTGAAGAAGGCCCTAGGGCAGGAGCAAACAAGCCACACCCTCAGTAGTCACAGCATTTATCACTATTTTATATGTATGTGTGACATGTGAGTGTGGAAGAAATGCATGGCAGTCAGGAGCCAACTTTATAGGATCAAACACAAGAGCAAGCAGCTTCACTGCTGGCCCAGCCAGCTTCAGGACATCCCTGGATCACAGACACTCCAGTTTCACATGACCACAAAGCAAATGGGACTAAATACTGATGGTGCTCAGAACTATGTCTTATGACCAAGATCATATTTAGGGATTTTATTTTATTAATCTTTAGTACCCTAACTATGCCCAACAAGCAAGCAAGATCATTAGAATGCAGAATATGCTTTCTAAACCTTTGGAGTTCATAAAATTTGGCAAGATAAATACAGTACTAATAAACACAATTTAAAATTCACACATGAAAGACACAGGGGAATTTAAAATGTTTCATGAAGCAGAGTTCTTTGCGGATGGAAAATAGCACACACCTTTAATCTAAGCACTTAGTATGCAGAAATAGGTGAATCTCTGAGTCTGGGGCTAGCCTGGTCTACAAAGAAAGTTTTAGGCTAGCCAGGGCTACACAGTGAGACCTTGCCTCAAAAACAAAGGCAATCAAGATTCAGTGTAGAAATACATGGCTCATTAACTCAACTGTGTATATGATAAGAAACGCAAATACTTAATTAGCAATCTGCCTCTGGTGTAAGAAAGTACCAAAACCAGAAGAAAAACTTTATGGCTAATATTTTCCCAGCACTACCAGCCCCACATCGGCACTACTGACAAACTCAGTCACTTCAGTCCTGTGTCACACACTTTATTATCTTACTCAAAGCTAAAACAATTCCCTCTTCACAAAAAAAAAAAAAAAAAAAAGGAAACTTAAGCTCAGTAATTGTGAGTTGCTTAGTCATATAACCTTTTCCTTAAATTTTTAATTAGGTTCCGCTCAACTTGGGGGAGATGCCCACTGGGGAGAAAATGACAGAAAGCACCAATTTCCAACTGTATTTTCAGTCTTTGCAGGAATAAACACTCTAGCGCTGTACCGACATCCAACATGTTAATGCTTTCCAGGTTGCCACCTTACTACAAAAATGTCACTATGCCAGGCAGGGGTGGCGCACGCCTTTAATCCCAGCACTAGAGAGGCAGAGGCAGGCAGATCTCTAAGTTCGAGCCCAGCCTGGTCTACAAGAGCTAGTTCCAGGACAGCTAGTACTACACAAAGAAACCGTCACGAAAAAACAAAAACAAACAAACAAAAAACAAAACCAAACAAAATGCCATTATGAAAACACTGAACAGAGCTTGGTCACATTGTTCTAAGAAAGGGCTTCATTAGGAACAAGTCTTCAGAGCAAACAGGCCGCCTGGGCAGCACCTTCCACACCCTCCTAACGCCCCCCAGCTCAGCAGCAGCAGGACCTGTCTTCTAACTGCTGTTGCCCTACTTCACTCTATAGAGAGGGTTGTTAGGACTACTAGGAATACCTGCAGCAAACTCTAAGAGTACCACAGAGGAAGGCAACACAAAGCACTTCCCTGACTACAAACTGACACCTTCACAAAAGGAGAAGGCACAAAACAGTAAGCTAGGTAAATCCACATCATCATTAAAGGCTGGAATTACTTACAAAATACATGACTCTCTCTAATCGGGCAAAATGTTCCTGTGGATATCTCCTATGGGGCTGACTCAGCCTGAGGCCAGCCTCTGAGAGGACAATGCACATGCTGTTTGTGTCCACTCTCAGCAATAACAAGAATTTTCTAGAGCATTCTGTCCCTAAAACCACCAAAGGTTTGAAGAAAAAATCCACATCTGCCAAGAGCTGAACTGTCCAGCACAAGAGGAAGCTACTGGAAGAGCAAGTGAGCAAGGGCTGTATGCCCCATGTGTCCTGAAACCCGCCTACTGCTTATTAAACAGCACACGGGCCAGGGAAGACTAAACCACAGCAGACAGTGAGGTTTGTTGTTGTGCTTTTCAAGTAATTTATAAAAGAACTAGACAGGCTGAAATCAGAAAGACCAAGACTGCTGAGAATGAGGAGGGAGGGAGGGAGGGAGGGAGGGAGGGAGCAGAGCCATCAGCTCAGCCTCTGGTGCCTCTGCAATTGTGTGCTTTGCCTCCCAGGAGACAGTGTCCACAGCCATTTGTAGTTGTCATGACTCGTGGAAGACGTAAGGAGGAGCCAAGGGTATAGTTAAGCATCTCACAGCACCCAACAATGAACACTCATTCAACCCACAGTCAACCAAGGCTTTTGAAAACTCCTAGTTAAAAGTTGAGTCTGGTCAATCAACCGCTCAAAGAAGAGACGGGGAGGGGGGTGGGAAGGAGCAAAGACCAACCTTCAGAGAACAGAGTACACCATGTACACTTTCCATAATTCAAAGTAACTCGGAATGAAGAGTTCTGAAAAGCCAGCCCATTCCAAAGAGAAAAGTCAGTCAAGAGAGATGGCATGTGCGTTTTACTTCATAACCAGCATTATCACAACAATTTTTAACTATACCTAAGGACATAAAAGAGAGTGTGTTCATAATGGATAAATGGGAAATCATAACAGGAATTAAAATGATTTGATATATATAGTTAACAATTTTTAAAATCTTGGTTCTTTTGCATTAGGAAGTTCTTGTATGCTAATGCTACAGTAGTCTTAATTAAATTTTTACTACAATTGTATGAATAAAAAACAAATATAAGCTTAGTTCTTTCTAAGCAAGAGTATTAGACAGCTGATACTAGAAACTGACTCACTTTGAATGTGTCATAATGAAATTATTCCATTTAGAACCAATAATCTAAGTTGCAGAGACACAACATGATAGTTTATAACCAGAAATTATACACAATAACCTTAGTCCTCACCTTTTCTAGCTAGACTAGAAAATTAATTTATACCTGCCTAATTTTCAACTTAAAATTAAGAAAATGTTCTTTATCTTTTGACAGATGGACTCTGACATATCATTTTGTAAACAAACACAATTAAATGCATGTGTAAATGAGAAAATAGTAATGTCTAAAAAATAAGAAATCATTTCCTTAGACATGCCAATGTTTAACTTGCAACAACCTCCTGTGTTTACAGAGGCTTTGAAAAGTAGTAGGTAGAAATGGATTTGAAGGCAAATATATTTTTGGATCTTTTTAAATGCTCACATACTTTAGCAAAAACCACTGTATTGAGTTATATCTAAAAAAATGAGAGGCATATAATCATTCCTCTTTATATGCAACTAAACTGCACACTGATCAATCTCGGGAACTGGCAGTCAGGGAAGAGTCATGAGTGGTCAACAATCCTTCCTAAAAACCAGATGCTCATCTCTGCATTCATCCTTCAGCCAATCATTTACCAAGCGACTAGACTCACTACTAAGAAACAGTAAGCAGAGCGTGGTTGGTGTCCAGCTGTGCTCTGGACTATCGCCTCCTCAACTCCTACCTGCTTTCTCAGCTTCTCTTTCTCTCTCCTTCCTGATGGACAGTCAGCACTGCTACTGCTGTGACCCTTGGCCTCATCTCTAGCTAGGGCCTTGAGAAGAACAGTCAACCTCAGGGTGGTAAATGGCTTATTTTTCACTTCTAATAAAACCAAACACAGAGAAAGTGATGGGGGGCTCGTTTTGTACGTGTTTGTGTATATTTATCTACATTTACCACACCCATACCCCACAGTCCCTGCAGCAGCTCTTCCTTCCCCTGGAAGACAGGGACAGACAGACAACCGGCTGAGACATTTATCTGAGGCTCTAGGTTACAGACTTCCAGGTGGTGGCAGGACTAGGACATGAGTTTAGATCAAAGTGGGTGGGGCTGCACAAATCCTGCTTCCATCTCTTCCCTGTCTCCAGCCAGAGACCTTGACTCCAGACAGGTTTGTGCTGTAAATCCACCAACAACCTCAGGAAATAGAAGAAGTCTCTGATAGTGCTAGGTGGGTTCAATTCATCTCTTCAGAGACTCTGCCATGTTGTCTGCCGGATGCTGGGGCCTGAAGTCTCCTCAGAGTCACTGCCATGCTGTTGTTCACGGTCGGAATGACCCTGAATGAACTCCATCTCCCAGCATCAGTGTCCCTCTAATCCCAATCTGATACCTTCAACAACCACTTTACTAAGACACTCTGGGAGAAGCTACTAATGGAGCCTCTAACATCAAGAGCCAGGGACTGCCAGCAGCCGCTAGGGGCACAAACTTCATCCTGTTGACTCCAACCTACAACCACCTGCCAAGTCCCTACCTTAGTGTACCTGAACCTTAAAACAGAATTGAGGGGGTGTATCCTGGGTATAGAGCTCAGTGGGAAAGGGCAAGAGGCCCTGTGCTTCTTCCCTAGCATATAAAAAGAAAAAGAATACCACAACTCGGGTGGGATGGGGTGCTGTATACCGTTTTGTGAAAATTAAGTATTTTTTCTCTCTATCAACCAAATATGACTACACTATGGTCAGAGATAAGGGATGTTAAAATTGAGTTGTTTTGATCTGGTTTTACTGATCCCATGCCTATTCACTTTACAGGCATTACAAAGGAGGGTTATGGCTAACAGTTCAGGATTCCTGGGACATAACCCACAGTCCTGTTCTTGACAGTAATCAGGTAAGGAGCACTGGGACAGCACTATACAAATTTTCACCATTTAATTCACTTTATACTTAAGTCATGCCGAATAACAATTTAGGAAGAAAAATTAGGAAAAATAACAAAAAGAACATGCTAGAATGTCTAAATTCCAAAGCATATAGTGAAGAATAACTCAGACATGACCTCACTGATGACCATATGGCTATCTCATCTTAATATTCAACCACAAGCATGCATTATGTGATAGCACAGTGGCCAAGAACAACATGAAGAGATAAATACACAAACCCCTTTGACCTCAGTGCAAAGACAGGCGTGGTCAAGGAAGAGGAAGCAAACGACAAGAGCACCCTGAAGACTGACCTTTTGTTGACTGGCTTTTCATCCTTGTCATAGGGTCGCACAAACCACTTCCCGATCCTCACGAAGTTCTTATCCATTAGGCACCTACAATAAGCACATCAGGAATTACCTTCGCAGACTCAGTCACAGAATGGCTCAATACTCTGACAACCCAGATGAGAGGCACCAATGGAAACATGGTACCACAAGTCCAACTGCCAAATGTTTTCTTACACTCAAAGAACTCAGAACTTTGGGCATGTATTGTTAATGCCCCACGTGGGGGGGGGGGGGGGGGGGCGCAAGCAGGCAAGCAAATAGTTGGATTATTTCTAAAACTGGAATTTCAAGTCACAGGACTACATGACCTAAGCTCCTATATTACCAAGGTCAGAGTGCAGGGAACGTAAGGACACTTTCAAACACCACAACTCCTCCTGCAAGCTGGGGTTAGGGCTTGTTGTGACAAGTGACCAATCCTTTAGCAACGGTGCCAATAACAAAACCTTAAGACAACCCATCATCTGCCTTGATGTGTTCTTTCTGTGGGCATAAAAACCCTGTACAAGAAAATAAAGACTTGACATCAGCTTTCCAAGCAAGGGTGTCTGCCTCACTCAGTCTCGGCTGCACCTGGCTTCTTTCTCCATGCTGTGTGTGTTTTTCTGTCAAGTCACAGAATTTCTTTATAGGACATGGTAACAGTAATTGAACCCACTACATGTAATATCAAGAGTGTGACAGTTCAACTGTAGTGACAGTAGTTATGACCAAGTTCATTCACATGCAGGCAAATGACAACCCTATCCTAACTGCCCTCTACACAATGAATGAGATACCGCAGACTGTAAGAAGTACCCTTGATTTTAAAAAATACAAAATGTTAAATAAAATGGACATTCTGAACTTGATGGGATACAATGATCTCTCATTTTTAGTAAGTGAAACAATTCACATTTTAAAGAAAAGCGGTCAGAATTCTTTCCATACAAGTACTTATGAAAGCAACATAGCAATTCTTATCTCAATATTCAGACAGATATGGACTTGGTTTTTGTCTCTGTTGTTCCCAAACCACCATGGACTAAAGAGGAACAATTCAAGCCCTCATCCCGTTCATTACAGTCTAAATAGTCAGTAGATGGCAGGCTACAGTTTCTGGTCACAATATAATCTCCTTTGGGCAGAGTCAATTTGAAACAGGGTTACATCAAAACATCACTGGGTTTATTCTGAAAGTGAACACTCTCCGCTTTTCAGTGAACATCATTTGGCTGCATGTTTCTACATTAAATAAGCATGCTTCTGTGGGAGAGACTGTGTTTGCATTAAATTTTGAATAACAAATATGGAGTATCCACCTAAGAAAAGGGCCATACGTAGTCAAACTGTAAAGCATCGCCAGGTTCTTCCCCAGCCAGACTCCACCTCTCCTGGGAAGACACTGGCACAGATAGTGCAGACCTGAGCATCAGAGTCCTCAGTCCAGTAACACTGCAGATAGCTACTGCAATCACCACCACCACTGTGAGTGGGGATGACTGCCATAGTGTTCACTGCTGGAGACAAGGAGGCTAAGGCAGAGAGGAAATGTTTCCTAGCAGTCACTGAGCCCAGACATACCTGTACACACAGACAGGACATAAGTGACTACCCCATAATATTTCCTACTGCCATCTTCCTGTCTTAAACCCAGGTCCATCTCATGGCTGAATTAACACACAAGCATTTTTCTCTTGGTAAAAGCTGTTACTGAGTGTCTACTGTGCATTGAATAAAAGCAGTGGTGACAGGCACGGGATCGTGCCCAACAGGACACACAGCCTTGTAGAGAAAGAACTGTGTTGGATAAAGTCATGTTGCATTTGGGGTGGAAGTTCATATATATCTACTCTGAGGTGACACCAAACAGAAAGGAAGTGAACATGATGTTGTCAACTTTAAGCCCTGTGAGAAAATGGAAGAGATGCTTGCTATGGAAGACAGTTGTACAATTACACTAGCAACTGGGGAATGCTGAAGACCACACAAGATCACAGTGGAGCAGATGTGCACCCTGAAAAGAAACTAAGAGGAAGCATAACAAAGGCTGTTCTAACATCTGTATCAGGTACGCACAGCAGCCATGCAGTCAAGGTGTGTCAGCTCTCTGAGCAGACCTGAGCGGTGGAGTTCCCAATATTCAACAGCCCACAGCCTGTGAGCTGTCTGCGTTACTCTCCTCCTATGTAAACTTCAAAGAGTGCTCCTGTCTCTGGTGAAGCCTGTGGTTTCTCTGTATTTATAATCAGGGTTTCACTACTCATTTATGATGACTCGTTTCTGTAACTCTTCCTGGAAAAATTGTGATTATGACCAGGCAACAGGTATTTACATGCCATGATGTGGCGCATTCTGGGTCCTGCTCTGTACTGCTCAAATAAATAGCTAACCTGAGTAGTAACTTATTACTATTTTCCTGTTCATCATAGTGAAAGGTACTCTTACTCTGACTGTGTTTGCTGTGTGTGCATTCCTACCGTGAGGCACACAGTGACAGGAAAGAATTCCTCTGAATTTACTTCTTCCTAGCTTGTCCCTTCCCAGTGGAGCCTAAAATCACACTGAAGGGATCTCGTGGCTGCTAAGAGACATTCAGGAAAACCGACACTTTTACAGAATGCACTGATTATATCTGAAAAACATAATTAGGCAAATATTATAAAGAAATGTAGCTTTAAGACTAAAAAAAAAAAGATCAGAAATAAAACGTCCACTCTACCATTCTTTGCTCTTTTTGGGAGAAGAGCATCAAATTTTGTATTTAATTTTACAACTCATCCTTGTAGACAATTAGATCCGCCAAAATCTGCTTTAGAATGGGAATCCTAATCACTACCAGGTATGTATTATAGTCACCTTGGGTATCAGCCACACTCTCAAAAGCACTTTTCTGTGAAGATGGCAACCTTCTGTAAGGTAGACTGATGCCACTTTAACAGGCAACTGTGAAAGGCCAGAGTCCGGCATCTCTGCTAACCGTCAGCACCTTCAAGGTCAACATTTCAAGAAAAATAGACCAGTGCTGAAAAATGAAGGCAAGGTCCGTTGTTCATGAGCATGTAAGGTCCCCTGTGTTGCGCCACGTGGTTCTGAATAATTAACTGCAACGTGCAAGTTCCCATTTCTACTCCCAAAGCCTGATGCAAGGTAACAAGTGCCTGAGCAGCAACCGCAGACTAATCAATCCAGCAAGTTACTTCCCAGACGGGACAGCTGGGAGGAGCACAAGTCCACCTGGCTAGCACTTCTGACAGAGACTCGAGTCCAAACATCACACTCCTTGGTTACGGATTCACCCAGTGACACCCTGACTTCATCAACCTGTGGTCTCAGAGCTACCCAGATACATCCTACCCACCTGCATGCCAAGCATCCTCAGTGCCACCTTCACCTCCCCACCCTTCATCAGATGCAGGAAATTAGTTTCTGCCAAGGACACTACAACATGTCCAGTGGAGGAGATGAAGGACCCTCTTCCCAGCTGACCCACACCCTCACTGTCAGTGCATTGGCTTCTCTTGTGCCTGGTGGGTTCTGCTCTTACAGCAAGGTATAGGTAGGCAAGGCCTCTCTACTTCACATCCACTGTAAAATGACTATAGCCTCAGGCTCTTTTACAGGACTAACCTTACCTGAAATGTCCATTCTACTACTGTCAATCCAAAGAAATGTACCTCTCTTCTCAGTTATTCCGTGTCTAATGTCATTCTTTAATTATTACCAAAGAGGGCAAAAAACCCACAGTTGTCAATGTCTTCACCCCTTCTCTGTGCTAAAAAATTATGAAGTGAACGACTTGACTGATGTGCCTAAGATGAGATTTGTTTCCAGATATTTACAATTCGTGTTTTAACTACTGGTTTTCAGTTTTTTACTTATATCCTCCAATTGCAGAGGAGATCCCCAATTTAAAGGCCATGCCTATGTGTCATTTCCATAAAATGGAGATGAACTTGTTTCTTGTACTCTTACGTGATTCCCAAGGTGCCGTATCATATGACCACTCCTTCAACTGCAGCTGCGCCTGTCGCTGTGCTCCTGTGAATTCAAGAGTTATGCGGCAGTCTCTAACCCAGCCATCAGACACGGCGCCCACAGTGTGTGGATGGACATGCTGCTGGGCGAGGTGCAGCGCCAATCCCCAGCCACATGAATCTTCCACAGTTGCTGTCCCCGCACAGAGAAGCCTAGCAGCCATTAGTCAGACAGCAGCGGTGCACTACCAGGTAGAGCACCACCCTTCCCCGGCGTCTCAATTCACACTGCTGCCAAGCTTCCCTCGGCTGCATGGCATGACTGAGAACACACTTTCTTCACTGTGTGCAAAGCAGTGGGGAGCTGACATCTGGGGACTACAATAAGCCCCATGAAAACCGGCAAGCGTATTTTATTCCAAAGCATTCAGACAGTTACAAATGAAAACCAGAGTAACAAATCTAATACCAACCAGGCTGTGTGTCAGATGTTTTGAGTTTACTACAATGTGGCACTCCAGTACAAAAAATATTCCCAAGTCTTTGAACTACATACATTTTTTGGATTTTTCAAAATTTTTTACTTCATTATCATAGACAGGTAATAGAATTTGCTATATCATGAAAAGTCACTTCAACTATACTAAGGGAAGCAGTCAAGGTGTCTGAAATACTCCTGAAGAGCGACTGCACACTTTGTTCCCCATGAGGAGGAGGCACATCTCAGTGTGATACACGGCCTAACCGCTGGCAGGATGAACATGGGTAGAGGGCACTTGGCTGGGGACTGAAGAACAATCTAAGCTCAGACACTCTTACATCGTGAGGCGGGCGAGGAGAGAGGTGTGTAATAGGGGAGTGGGGATAAGCTCCAGACAAGGAAGTCTAGATAAATACAAATTAATGGTATTTTATCATCCTGGGCATTTAGCCAAAAAGATAATTGGCTTTAAAAAAAAAAAAAAACGCACACTTACTTTTTTGAAAGACTAGAAAAATGAGCAAAACGACATGATCTAAAACAGTAAATTCTGGAACTCTCTGCTTCTCAAATTCTAAGAAGTCACAAAGACAATATCTAAAGAAGCAATGAGAGTACAAAATTCTCTTTCTCTCTCTCCCTCTCCCCTCTTACACACACACACACACACACACACACTTCAAAAACCTTTCTGTTCCCATGCCATAAACAGCAGCTAACTGGAAGACAATGAGACAGAGTTCTGCCTGTCCCACTGGCATCAAGTATTGTCATGCAACTTTGATGTCTCTCTCTGGTAGTTTCCATTCTGTTGTCTATTTAAGCCTTGTGGCCAGAGTCTTAGCTGATGATGTATGGGCAGACCTGGTGTGCATCACTCCTGAGAGCTCCTTAGCTCTCTGCTCTCTACCGGGAAGCCAGTGAGGAGAGGCAAAGGATGCCTGGCAGTACCAGAGGCTGGGGCAGCGAGGCAGACAGCACTGCAAGAACACAGTCTGCCTCTACTGTGAAGGGGAGGATGTTCTGACTTCTAATAATAGTGCATCTCTGAGCCTAACTTGGCTGATGAAAGAGACAATAGCAATACATTTAAAGCAGAGCAGCAGCCACCAAAATGAATGGAGCCAAATGGAGAGCAATAATGAAGAGGAGAGTGGGTGAATTTTATAAGAACTACAAACACAAGGGTAGGAATGTAGGTTTGATTACCAAACAAGCAATGACATGGAAGGAACATTAGATAGCGGCTGTATGAGCCTAGGGAGATGGCTGAGAGGTTAAAGCCCTTGTACTTCCAGAGGTCCTAGGTTTGGTTCCCAGCACTCGCAGTGGCTCACAGCTATCTATAATCCCAGTTCATAGGGAGCCAATGCCCTCTTCTGATTTCTGAAAGCATCAGGAATATACTGGGTGCACAGACATACATGCAGGCAAAACACTCATACAAGCAAGATAAATTTAAAACAAGAAAATGAAATCTCCTGTATAATCTTTTTTACAGATGACTAAATATGGCTCCAAAAAATAACTTTCAAAATAAAAACATCAAAGTAACAGGAAAAGAGATTTCTGAGTGCTCAGTGCAAATCACATTCTAACACTAAGTACATTCTGAGGATGAAACAAAGTCCTTCAGAACCTGCTCACATGATGGAAGTCCTCAAGGAAGAGGGACCACAGAAGGATGTTGCAGACCAGAATCCCAGGATGGAGCAGGTGACTACCATGCTAACTCCACTCTAAAAAACAGCAATCCTCACTGTCTTTCTCTTAGCTGTAAGGGCAGCCAGTCGCACAGTGTTCTCATAAAGAGAAGGGCAGAGTGTGGGGGCCAAGGCCCACGCTGCACAGTTCGTTAGATGATGAAGCCGAGACCCAAAACACCTCCTGCCTCTGCGGGTAATTAAGGAAAAGGATTTCTAGGAATGAGTGCCTAGAAAGAACAGAAAACCACAGCCACAGATGCTCTCTCCACTCTGACGCCATTATGGAAATGTTCGTAGGAGTAGCATGTTGGAGTGTTTGTTTCTAGATGGACAAATGACTCCAGCCAGAAGTGCAAATACAGGGCAGGCAAACACTGAAGGGTGACAAGAGAAGAGAGGATCTGAAGTCACACTGCTTACAATTTAAAACTGCCTACAGAATATCAATAGAGTGGTGCTTCAGGACCAGTCAACAGTAACCCAGAATGCAGTGCTCTTCTGTGTGAAAATGACAGCATTACTGAGCCCCTGTAGTGAAACCGCTAGTAATGAGTAGCTGCAGTGACATCATTGTTAGCCTTTCATAAATGTGCACAACTCCTCTGACCTAAGCAAAAGTTTTTCAAGGTAGTGAATAAAATTTCCTTTTAATTAAGCATCTTTACACTAATCTTTTAATCTAAAAAATTAAAAGCAGAATGAATCACTTGTTCAAGCTTTATAAATAGATAAACTAAACAAAAAGATTTAGAAATTCTACAAGCCCTGCTACTGAACTGGTCATCAGTTTTCATGCCAGGAAATCGCAGAACTCACACTAGAAAACCAGAATGAACTTGTGTGAGCAGAAACAAACAACGGAAAACAGCAAGAAACAGACACTAAACTACATCACAGATTCAAAAAAAGTTACAGTAGGTGATCTAAATGAAGGGGAAAAAAAATAAAAGATAAAGTATGAATTTGCCATCCAGATTCTGCTGTCAGTGAATTAGGAGAGCCAGGGACCACCATTTACAATGCTTCCCTGTCTCACCAGCAGAGGAGTTTCAGTCACAGAATGTAGCCACCTCAAGTCTGAAAGAGAGTGAGTAAATATTTAACAGGACAAAAGAACCTTAAGTTACCCAAGAGTAACAATGAGGAAGATTGGTCATGAAGTGTTCTCTACGGTAAAAGCTGCTCTGCTCACTGTCTCAAAACTGATTCCCAGGGAAGAACTGCCAACAGGCTATTCTGAGACTGCCAAATAGTGCAAAACAATGAAATTTAGAGGAAAATAATAATTATTGACAAAGTATGTGAAATACAGTACCACTTTAACAAAACCAAAGGTCCTAGCTCTTCACGTCTAACTGGCAGGTTTCTCTTTTAAGGCTGAATGTTGCCAACTTTGAACAAAACTGAGACCCAAATTTTACTGTATATGTCACACATAATTTCTTAAAAATAATGGTTCGATTTGGCCTGGGCTTTAATTTCCATTATAAATAAAAATTCATAAGCCCTGAATAAGGAACTTATATATATATATATATGTCCTTCCACTCAGTTTTTATGTTCTTCTAGTTTTTTACAACAAAGAAAAAAATGCTAAAATATGGGACTGAGAAAAAGTCATGTTTTCTAGAAGAAATCAATCATGATTTAAAAGCCCAGTGAGTTGCAATATTAAAAATATGCTTTGTTCTACATACTGTAGAACCTCATTTAAAGACACATTCTTGATGAGCCCTTTACTTGACAAAGAATTATGCAAACAGTAAATTTTTCCTGTTTTCCTGAATGTGTTTGGGTATACTTTTGTTCTTGTTTACTTGGTGGGGGTAATGACAAAAAATTGTCAAAGACTTAATTCATGATTATCTAATCATCAAAACAATGCTTCTTCATACATGTAATACCTTCTTGGAAAAGTACAGAGCGAAGTAGTGCTAGGATCCAAAATATTTAAGGGGGGGGGGGATGGTGACGGACGGAGACATTTGATAGGAAGAATCTTTTTAAATGGCTTGCATGGTGTTGGTTGATACAGTGATAGTCTCCCTGTCTAGCCAGCAGCTTGAACATGAATTTATTTATTTATTTATTTATTTATTTTTCTTGGTTTTTCAAGACAGGGTTTCTCTGTGGCTTTGGAGCCTGTCCTGGAACTAGCTCTGTAGACCAGGCTGGTCTCGAACTCACAGAGATCCGCCTGCCTCTGCCTCCCGAGTGCTGGGATTAAAGGCGTGCGCCACCATCGCCCGGCTTGAACATGAATTTAATAGGACTACAATGCCTTTTCAGCTCTGATGATCTCAGGGCATCGTCTACAGACTCCAGAAAGAAGGGAACGATAATTCCCACTGAAGCTCATAACTAAGCAATTCTTAGTAATCTATGTCTACCCTTCAGAACACCACAGAAGAGCCTGGAAGAATCCTGTACCAGAAGAAAAGAAGGCACTTCAACAATGACTGTGCAAAAGGACAACTCGCATCAATATTCTTCAGTCAGCTCTACAAGAACACGGGCATCATCCTAAATGACAGCAATGAAGTATATAATTCATGGAATGAATGTCTGTTTTGAGAACAGCTCTCAATAAGTATTCTAAAGGGTGGCTTTGAACTCCTCATCCTCTGGCTTCTGCTTCTAAAGTCATAAAATGAGAGTTGTGTGCCACTAGACCAGCTCAAAGAGCCCAAGCTTATTTATGTATGTGAGTAGATCTGTGGGGCGGGGAAGAAGGAGATGGAAGGGAGAGGAGGAGAGGCAGAGAAGCAAGAGGCAGAGGGACTGACTAGGCCAGAAATGTGAAACCCTCTTCTTCCTAACAGACTGCCAACTAGTAAGAGAAGGAACGGTGACATTTCAAATCACTATCAGTCATAACAGCAATAATGATTCCAGTGAGGATGGTTTAGAAGAGAGGGAGCATCCACAGTCCTACTGGTCTGCCACAAATAACAAAAGGGGTGGAGCCAACCAGGGCCACAGTTCACAAACCTGACAGAAAACACCACTTCCAGCACGTAACTGCAGATCTAACACTGATGCTATGTGTCAGCTACCGTAATACTAGGGTAGGGGCAGGTTCACTTCTGCGGCGTTCTTTTAAAAAGCATAAACCCTAATCAAACCACAAGAAACCGCCTAGAAGCCGGGAGGTGGTGGCACACCTTTAATCCCAGCACGCAGGAGGCAGAGGCAGATGAAGCTCTGTGAGTTCGAGACCAGCCTGGACTACAAGAGCTAGTTCCAGGACAGGCACCAAAGCCACAGAGAAACCTTGTCTCGGAAAAAATAAATAAAGGAAAGAAGGAGGGAGGGAGGGAGGGAGGGAGGGAGGGAGGGAGGCTCAAACTGAGGAGCCAAGCTAAGACCTAACTCAGTATCAGCAAGAACATTAAGAGAGAAAGAACTTCCCTAGATTTGTGAGCTATGAAACGTAAATATATTATCTTGATGCAAGAAACATAACTGCAAAACCTGACAACCTCTCTACTACAGCGAGGGTTAGAGACTATCCTGCCACTTTCATGAGTGATTCTATGCTTACAGAGAGGAGGACAGACTTTGCCTTAGGAAGCATATACTTAAGTAGTCAAACCATAAAAAAAAAAAAAAACCAATACTGGTGAGTCTGAACGGTTCCAGAAATAAACAGTAGGAACCGAACAAAAAACATGTATTAACTGGGGCAGGGGGAGAGAAGACACACACAATTCTATACACAGTCCCTAAAGCTTTTCTATAAATAGAAAACAAACAGGAAATTTACACACATAACTATCATGCTGCAATGACCCCATCTCTAAAGCCCAAGTAGAATTGGGCAATCCTGGGCTCAGAGCCACGCCACTGCCCCCTTTCTTACCTTTCTAACAGATTGTGGATTGCTTTGAAGAGCAGCGTCCTACATTCGTAGGAAAGGCCGTTTTCCCAGAGTCCTTCTTCCACAACTGAAAAGAAACAAGAAAAAAGAAAAAAAAAAAGAACCAGTAAAAAGGACATCCAAATAAAAAGAAACTTTGACACATTTTTTTTCTAATGCAAAGTTAATGAGTTAATTAAAAGGATTTGATCTCAGTCTCACAGGGAACAGAAAGGGAAAGGTAAATACTAACCACAGGTATGAGGTGGGAATGAAGGAAAAAAAGAATTAGGTTTCAGCCTTTCAAGTGTGGTCATGGAGCCATGGCACTCCCACTGGCCTCTCCATCCTTCAAAGCACGAGTCCTTGTTAATACTCTCAAAGCAACTATCCTAAGTCTCAAAGTTCAATTTTGAGGGATTTCTACTTAAAAATAATAAAGGTAAACCAGGTGGTGGTGGTGCATACCTTTAACCCCAGCATTTGGGAAGCAAAGGCAGGTGGATTCTCTGAGTTTGAGGTTAGCCTGGTCTACAGAGCAAGTTCCAGGACAGGCTCCAAAGCTACAGAGAAACCCTGTCTTGGGGTGGGGTGGGGGGCAGAGCAAAGGTGTTATAAAGTAATAACTAGACTGAGAAGATGATTCCCAAAAAGTATTTGAATTATACACCATTGTTTAAACGAAAACATATCTAGATAGTATTATAAAGAATTTGGACATATTGCTAAAAATTAACTCTAGCTACAATATTAAATTGCTCCCAAGATTTATAATTTTAGAAATGCTTAGCATCTGAGGGAAATAGCATGCTTGCCATGGACCTATAAGTCACTCCAAAAGAATCCAATGCCCATGGAGTCCTAAAATTCTTTTTCTTTTCCTAAATATATATTTGGGGGGAGGACCTCAAGGCAGCGCTTCATCCTATTTGATACTGAGGTGCAAGCAAGAGTTAACTGTGGTAAGGCAACTATACTGACAGTGGATTTGGGGTCTCATGAATGAGAAAAAAACCTACAGACTGAGGACAAAGGCAACAGTCACAAAGTGTGTAGGGACATATGAGCATATTAGGCTTTCTCTTCATGGGTCCTACAAATCATTCAGTGATAAATACAACATTTTTGTTTGTTTGTTTTTGTTTTTCGAGACAGGGTTTCTATAGATTTGGAGCCTATCCTGGAACTAGCTCTTCAAGGCCAACCTGGTTGGCCTTGAACTCACAGAGATCTGCTTGCCTCTGCCTCCTGAGTGCTGGGATTAAAGGCGTGTGCCACCACCGCCTGACGATAAATACAACATTTTAAATCTAGACTTCAAGCTTCCCAGTTAAATATTAATCTATATGAATAAAAATGTAGTATGAAAAGTGTTTTATAGGCTATATTTATCAATTTAAACTCTTGGTATCAGAAGAAAAAGGCACAAGAAACCAAATAGTTCTGTATAATAAAAGAGTGGAAAGTGTCAATCAAAATAAAAAATTCCTAGATGTAAACATACCGTCCTGCTGTTTTAAGTGTTACAGCAGAATTAAGAATGGCAACTAAAGTAAGTGCTGCTGGAGCTACTGTGTGCAGACACATTCTCTTGGCACACGGTCACCTTGCTGGGACTGCAAAGCTAGATCAGATAATCTGTGAAAGTATTAAATGGTTTGTAGAAGACACTATTCTATAAAGAAAATTTTAAATAGCAGTAATCACTGCTTAGCATCCAAACACTCAAAATCTTCAGTTTATAATGTTTCCCAACTTCTCAAACACTGTATCCTGCAGAATTAATATGCTTCTTTAAACAAAAGGCCATATAAAAGGTTCCAAGTATCAATGTGGCAAAATGTCAAAGCAGCAAACACTCAGTGGCTTGAAGTTTCCCAGCAGACACCACCCTGTTCCATAAGCAAAACTGGTGATGAGATGGAGGGAAAGTGGGGAAGAGAGACAGACAGCAGCACTCAGCTCCTGCATCCATCCTCACCCTATGCACAATCTAAACCAGAATGGTTCCCTCTGAGCTTTGACACATGGTCTCTTTAATGTATCACTACTGCAGCAACAGCTGAAATGAACATCTAGACATCAGAAACACTTCTTACTCCCCCACTGCTTTTTAACCTCAGGCATTAAAACTACTGAAACCTATTATCCAGACAGAACACTGATTTCAGCAAGCACATCAGCCACTGCAAAAGCCAGATGGGGGAGGAAGAGCAGTACACTAGTGGAAAATAGACTCCTCATGTAGCCATTAAACTACTGGAAAAGAACTTTTGTTCAAATCCACAAACGCAAATACACTAAAAAGCAAGGCACAGGAGAGGACTGTCCCTTGTTAGATTTGCTGGCTAAGGGAACATGATCTAAAGGGAGACTGAGAATCTGCCCCCCAGTCTTTGTTTTCAATTGTGCTGTTCAATGCATAAAACTAGTTAAAAACTGAAACTTTCCAATTCTCACACCTATTCCCCAAGAATGGTAAAATAAGCAGACATTGCAATAAGATAACACTTACCAACTTCACAACAGACTGTACCAAATAATAGTTAAGATAGAGAATTTTTAACGTATCTGCTTTCTTTAAAAAATTGACTTAACAAAAAATTGAGTAACAAAGTAGCATAATGTCACATTAATTCTGAAATATAGCATCATATCCATAAAAATCCAATTACACACAGTATCATTGACTGATCACCATTTTGCTGTCATTGATTGCCTTGTAAAATCTATTTGAAGTCATTAATAACTAAATGGACTTATTTATATCAAATCCAACCCACTCAATACGCTGCTCTCTTGAACTGCTCATGGATGTAGAACATTTGGTTTCACTTAGCAAAACTATATCAGAAATGCATTTAGCTTTTCCATTGTCAATTCATCGGTCAAATAAGGACCAGAGGATAAAATATTAGGGACAGAACAGAAACAGACATGCTGTTTGCTCTGACCTATTTGCAGCGTTAAAGGATTGCAACCCTGCGGTGGCTGTGACATGCATTTTACCAGGCTAACGTCCTCCTAAGGAGTCTCTAACAGCATGGGTCCTCTGCCAGTTGCATGATAACCAGAATTTTAATGAAGGTTTCTGTTCAGCACAGTGGCAGTTGAGACATGACCCATGTTAGCATTTCAAAGGATCACAAGACTTGTGGAAAGCCAGTAAATTTTCTATTAAAGGAGGTCAGAGAATTAGATTTCTGGATGCACTGAGCAAGACCTTCAGAAGACAGCTGTGCAGGAAACAGTCCAATGTTGCTGTGACTGCTCACACTGAAAAAGAAATCCTAAAATGTGGCACTGACTCACCACTCTTCTCAAGCACTTTAGAATGACCACTATCATTTTATTTTATGTTCTTAAATTACTCAATGAATAAATGGACAAGGGACTGGGCAATCCCAGCTTGGCAGTAACCTCTGGCTCCTGGGAGGGCAATCTTCACCTCACTGTAAACTTTAGGCTTCCTTAGTGAGCGTGCGTTACTGCTACTTAAACTCTTAAGTAAGGCTGGTGTTGATTAAACAGCTACATGTTCTGAAATTACAGAGGATTGTCATGATATATAAATGTGGGGCTTTTTTTTTAATTTTTGTTTTTAGACAGAATCTCACAGTATAGCCCAGACTAGCCTCAAACTCATGACAATCCTCCTGCTTCAGCTTCCAGGGTTCTAGGATTACAGGTATGAGCTACAGTTCCAGGCACCAAGAAATGTTCAATATTAACAAAAACCACACATATGGTTGATATATATGATGAACACATAAAAATACACATATTATAAAGCACACACATGTATGATACACACACATGAATCAGTTAAGGCATTTTCACTTAAATGCATTAATGCTTCATATAAACTTCCTCTAAGATGGTCTCATGTTAGTCAAGAAGACTCAATCTTTGCATTTCAATGTTGTGCAATTAGACAGTAAAAATTAAAAGCATTTATTCCTTCTACTCTTCAGAGGCAACCTGCTTTGAAACATAAACACACACTCCAGCATGCTAAAATTTTGACAGGACAGGTCCCCAAATTGCCTCTTGCACTAAAGCTCCAACAGTTGTCTGTCACTGCTATCACTGTGAGTAATCCTCCCAGCTGGAACTGTTTGAAATGTAGCCATCTTATCGGCATTCTACCCCAACCCCCACTCAGGCAGCATTTTTGTTCTTGTTGCAATAATCTTACAGAGCATTTTACAGGAGGCTTAGCCCTGGCAGAGGGCACTGTCTGGCGTGACCAGGAGAACATGGAAACACGATTCATTAGACACGCCTGGAGTGACAACGATGGTGCCACTTCTTGCTGCCTTTCATTTCCCACATCAGCCTGAGACTAATGCATTCTTGTTCCTCAACAAGCACATTTACAGACAGGGGAAACTGTAATCACCTTTGATTAAGAGACGGCAGATTTTTTCCTATATGAGCCACCAGCCACAGTGACATAGTAATTATTTTGTAACTGACAGGTTAAAACAGCAAATGTAGCAAAAATAACATGGGGGAGGGGAAGGAGTTGAGCAGGGGGTAAGAAGAGAAAAGAGAAGGGAGAAGGAGACAGACAACTTGAACATCATACAGAAGGTTCTTTCTCTGAGACCTCAGTCTGTTCTGCGTGCCCTGTCTTCCCTGAGGGATGTAACTGTGGCAGTCTTGTGAAGTACACAAACCCTACGTGTTTGTTTCTTTGGTGGTTTTTTAACTAATTACTACTGGCCTTTCTTTTTCTGCTTCTATGGGCTATGGGCTGGCTGTCGGCGCTGTTAAACTTCTCCATCTCCCTCCACTGTAAGACACTTCTTGCTGCATATTCTCTCACTTAGTTTCACTACAAATAGCTTGTTTTCATTTTTAAAACACTGCTCCAAGCTTCCTATTTTAATGAAGCATTTGTGGGGGGCTGGGGGGTGGAAGACAGATTTTCTCTGTGTAACAGCCCTGGCAGTCCTGGAACTCGCTTTGTAGAGCAGGCTGGCCTTGAACTCACAGAGATCCTGAGTGTTGGGATTAAAGGTGTGCTTCACCACTGCCTGGCTTAATGTAGCTTTTAAAAATATTCTTTTGAAAAACCAAAAA